ATGTGCATAGGAATTGTATAATAACTGTGGGTGGAGGAGAAAAAGAGTATTCTCAGCTAACTGTGGCTCTTGTGTGCTATTCCTCTCTTCAGTTCATCCTCAGATAGTCACTTAATCAAAAACTTAAAATGCCACATTCTCACTCTTTCTGTGTTACGGCATCATGGGATGTCATTGGGAAAATAAGATCTAAACATTTTAATTTTGAAGTATTTTTAAAATCTAACAGCTGGGCCTAAGAACAAACTTTATGAATATGTAAGCAATGCTTTTTGAATTTTATTGTAATTTTACTTTCTCTTAAATTGTTTTCAGAAGGCTTTGTCAGATATATCTATTTGAATTAACTACCCAATAAAGTGACTTTTAAATATTGCAGAAAGATGTAAATGGGTATTACTTTATGAACTTACTCTAGAAATTTTAGAACATTAAATAGGATATGCATCACTTTCTAGCAAAAATTTTAAAATCTGCAGAATTCCAAGTGAAAAATAGAAATCACTGATCATCAAATTGTTTAACGTAATGCAGGCCAACAAAAGAAAGTTAGAATCAAGGTTCTGCAAATAGAGGAAGGCAGAAATTGCTGCACTGGATCAGGCCTGTTGAATGATCTTTATATTTAACTTTTCCTTTCACTGTGTAAAATTAATGTTATTTCTAGAAACAGAAAAGCTTATACTGCTATTGTTTCTAATCCTCTAATACACATAAATCCTTGTACCTATAGGTACATAAACCACAAAACCTGCTAAGACTTGTGAAATTTAGTGTTGCAATTTGTTTGTTCAGGAACTAATTTTTTGTCTGCTTAGTAGTACATTTTCTCTATGTATCCTCTTACAGGTGTTCTTTTGAGAGTGAATTGGGTTTTGTTTATATTATAATATTGTTTATATTGTAATAGGAAAGGAGTGATGCTTCTTACAATACTGTCATGCTGCTTTTTTTTGTATATACCTCAGTGCTGTGTTGTCTTGCATTAAGGGAGGCCAAATGTTGCGTTTTATTTATATGAAATCTCCCCTCTGTCTACACTATACTGTGAGCTCTCATGTTTTTGGAGTGTTTTGGAGGGGGTTTGAGTCTTCATTGTCTCTACTCATAGACACTATTCTAAGAGAGGGCATACTGTAGATCTGCTGCACACTTTTCAGTATTTCTTTTTTCAGCATAACTTATTTTTTCTTGGTTGTTGTTTTATTTTGGGGTTTTTTTGTTTTGGTGTTTTTTGGGGTTTTTTTTTGTTTGTTTGTTTTGTTGTTTTTTCTTTTTTTTTGATTATGCAACTTTAAAAGATATTTTTCTTAAAGACTTTTCCAGATCAAAGTTCAGGTTCTTGCTAGATTGGGAATTCAGTAGGGGTTTTTGTCATGGATGTTATCTCTCAAATTAAACTGAATCTGTTCTTGTGTTCGTAGCATTGCTGGGAAATTCAGGTTCAAAGGGACCTTCCAAGGTCTTTAGTCTGACCTCCTGCTCAAAGCAGGATCATCTGTGAGGTCAGACCATGTTGTGAGGAATTTTACCTAGTAAGTCCATGAAAAACTTGAAGCAGGAAGACCACAAAACTACTCTAGGCTATCTGTTCCAGTCCTTGAGCGTCCTCATGGTGAAAATAAGTTACCTTGTGTCCATTCTGGACTTCTCTAGTTTGATTGTAGTTGCACTGCTTCTTGTCCTGTCACAGGTACCCCTATGGTGAGCCTGAATGCTTGCTGATCTCGTTGTATATACAGACACTTGCTGTTAAGGTCTGCCCAAAGCCATCTCTTCTCCAGGCTGAATCAGCCCAGCTCCCTTTGCCTTTACTCGCAGGACAAGTGCACTGGCTCCATGAGCATTTGGTGGCTACTGTGTCCTTCTTGTATTGTGGGGGCCCAAAAGGAGGTGCATTAGACCATGTCGGGAATAATAAACACTGAGTAGAGGTGGCGATCAGTTCCCTCATCTACTGGCAAGGCTCTTTTTAATAAAGCCTGGGATGCTGGTGACCTTTCCTGACAAAGCACACTGCTGGCACGCGATCAGCCTGCTTTGTGCCAAGACCTTTTCCATGGAACTGCTCCCCAGCCACTCATCAGCCTGTATTGTTGCCAGAGACTCTCAGGTGCGAGTGTTTTGTGTTTGTCCTATCCGAATTCATACAAATCCTGTAGGGACCATTCCTCCAGGCTATCTAGGTCCATCTGAATGGCAGCCCTATCTTTAGACTTATTGATTGATCCTCTTCACCCAAGTTAAACTTTATCTTAAAATTCTGGCTAGAATATACCTTACTGGCCCTGCAAGTCATTGGTAGAGATATTTAATGGACTTGTCCTATACTCTTGTATAGGACAAGTCCATTTGATACCATCCTCCAGGCAGCATGCAGCACTTTGTCCTCTGAGCCTGACCAGCCAAATGTTTATCCATTCTCTAGTTGTTTATCCATTCTCAAAAGAGATATTTTCTAGTTAACTGATAGTCAATTCCTTGACCTTCCCATGACTTTTTTTTAGTGTGTTGATGCAATTTATTATTGGTTTTATTTATCAATGAAACCCTACCAATTTTTATTTTGTATGTTAGTAGTTTTCTGTGTTCCTGAGTACTTCCTCACACAGTAATTTTTTTTGTGACCTTCTTGTGAGTGTCTCTGCTGTTGTACTGTATCCTCTACAGTTCTTCTATTGTGCATATTTTAGTCATTTCAAGTACTTCTGTCTGCTGTCTGAAGTACAGCAAATTGATATAACATTTCTTAAAGCAGATGGGGTTCTCTAGTAATTTTAAAAGAGATTGTGCCTGGACCTACAATCTTGTTCTTAGCTCAAGTCCTTTATTATTTGTCATTATTTGCCCACTTCTCTTTGAAATGAAACTTTGATAGATAAGCATGTTGGAACTGGGATGTCACTTGTGTTCTTCATGTAAAATTCATAATAAAGCAAGAGTTCTATCAGCAATACTTCAGTGATTTATCTGTTCTGGTGGTGGACTAAAAGATGTTCCAGTTCTCAGATTTCCTGATTATCATCTAACAAAGTGATTTCCTATTCCTGTGTTTTGGTGGGTTTAAAATCATTGCCTTTTACACTTCCTTTTTTTTTTTAAATGATACCTCATTTTCTACAGCTTCATTGTATTCAATTTCTGTTTTATATGGGAATCTTGTTAGTTTTGCACTAATTATGCACACTAAATGTGCCTCTTTACTCCCAAAGGCTGCATTTCATCTTCTCAGTACTGGCCACAAACTGTTCCCCTGCTTACCATTCCTGAGAATTGTATTAGTCTCATACCAGCAACAGGCTAAAATACCTCCTGTGTAAGAGTAATTCTTAAACATTTACTCTCACTTACAGAACCACGCTGTTTTGCAATGTGGCCACAAATCTGTAACTATTTTACCTATTGACACACTTTGGTGTTTCAGCATTCTCAACAGAATTAAGTGGAATGGATGTCTTTCTCTTTAGCTAGACAGGTGCGAATCCAGCAGTTAGAGCTCTTGTGAATCAGGTATGGACTGAAGTACAAATAGATTTATGTATCTGATACGGTGGATATACATGGATAAAAGTCCTAGTTATTTAATAACTACAAATAGAAATTTTCTTGTTTTCGAGCATTGCTTTTACATGAAAATACTATTTGGGCTGGGAGACATGAGGGTACATGTTTACAAATGTGAATTTGCACATATTTGATTGACTGACTGTCTTATGGATGTCTTTAGAGTTCTCCACTTCGTCAGTTCATTCATGGTTTTGCTTGGGGCTGTGCCTGGGCAGTCAAATAACATCATTTCTTGTATTCTTGTTAGATGTCAATATGCAGATTTTGGGGTTTTGAAAGTATCTTTGATCTGACAAAAGTATTAATGTACAAATGAGAAACTTGGCTCTTTTGGGGGGAGGGCAGGGACACAAGGGAAAGTGGCTGATCGATTTTGGTTTGGTTTGGGGGGGTTTTGCCCCTTCAAAGACTGACTAAGCTGTGTTATCTTAACTGACTGAATAGTGCTTCTCTCCTCTTTCCAGTTCAATGTAGTGGCATGGATTTGTGTGTGATTATGATTCAGTTCTTTTTTGTGTGCCTTATTGACGCTTGCAGTAGGACCTGTTTGCTGGCTTCACATGAAGTTAGAGCATTGCTAACTGTATCTGGATGTTTATATAAAATACTAATTGCATGTGTTGAATTTTTATATAAAGAAAAGAATGTTTTTGCCACCTGTGCAAGAACTTCTGGCTGAATTAAGTGATTAAATGAAGAATGCATAATTAATGAATGAGCAAATATAATGTAATTCTTCTTTCTCTCCAAAGAAATTACTGAAAATCTATGCTAAAATAGATATTTTTAAAGCAAACAATTAAACATAAGATTTCCTTACTGCCCTTGGAATCTTCTAACAAGAGAGCCAAAGGAAATGCCTACCTTATGTTGTCATTGGAACAGCATCTATTTGAGGTTTCCTTAGGCCTCTTTTTTACCCTGCTAACTAAGCTGCATGTGCAGTTAAAGTAATTTTTAAAAAAAAGTCATTTTTCACAAGAAGTACTCTGCTTTTGCACTAATTTATTTCTGTGCTTAATAAGTTTCTTCTAAAATTTTAGATTTTTTTTTTCCAGAGATGTTGATAAACCTTTTTTTTAATTCCTGCTTTATATGTAGGGAAGAGGTGGTAGAAATTACACGTAGAATGACAAGGGAAGCCTTTAACAGAACAGAACTTAAAACCTGTGTACCTTGACTGATAGTATTCTGCTATAGCCATTAAACCATCCTTTTTCCCTTGCAAGATTTTTCTGAAATTTGTGCTATGAAATGATACCATAGCAATGGGGTTGGAGATGTACATATGTTGCTAAGAAACTACATGCTCTGTTCTGGACCAGCCACTGTGATAAAGTGGCTGTTTTGAGTTGTTGCATATGAAAAGGGCCTCTTTAGGTGATGTGCGTTTTGCTCCACCGATTTCTGACCTGCAATGCTTGCCTTTGCAGATGGAACATGAGGATTTTGTAATGGAGGGGCATGGCAAGACTCCACCTCCTGGTGAAGAAAACAAACAGTGAGTCATGCGTTTATTTAAAAAGGGCCTTACCATAGTAAATGAAGCACACTCGTTTAAACCTGCTGGGAGCATTGGTTGGTTGCTTGGTGCTCACCCTTTTGATTCCTTAAATATCCACATATATAAAATAGTGGATGGTGGCTGAAAAAAAAAAAAAGAGGCAGGATGTTGATTTGCTTTAAATGTAAAAGCATAGAAAGATGCATTGCAATTTCAACACACGAATCAGAAATTGTTGTAAAAGGCATAATCATTGTGGAAGCTTGGCACTGACGTAGTGAGTTTGTACATTAAGTTTCTATACAGCTGCTCTTCACTGAAGTAATGTGAAATATGAAAGAACTAGGGCCTTCCTTTTGGTGTGCATATGGCAGATTGGTCCCCTTTCAGCCTTATTTCTTTAGAATGCGTTTTAATAAAGGATCAAAAATTACAAACAAAATGCTGTTTGGAGGCTGAACAATATAAGATGCTGGTACACAGAGCTTTAGGGAAAGCAGCTTGATCAGAGTAGAAAATTACTGGTTTCTGTTAGGAAAAGGCTTTTTCATATGATTTCAAACTGAAATCTAGTACTGGTTGGACTTTTTCTCTGGGTTTTTGTTCAGATAGGAAGAAGAGGGCCTTGTCCTAGAAGTACTTCAGTGATGGCTGTATTCTGTATTCTCTTCATTAGTTAATGCAATGGTAATTCAGTTTTGATGCCGTAATTAATTTTTTTTTCTTTTCCTGTCATTTGGAGCAAGCAAGAAGATGGTCTTTGGAAAAATCTAGATCACATAGCTCTTTTTTTCCTAAACCTAATTGGATATCATCTCATGAGAATTTCTTGTTGATCTGCACTACACTTGTTGCAGAAAGGCTGGGATGTGACTTGAGGTGAAGGTCTACTTTGCCTCCTAGATAAGCTGGCAACTCTCAGTGCACAGCATCTGTGACAGTGAGTAACCATTTCTGAAGTAGGCAAGTTGAGGTCAGCAGAGTTCTAGTGCTGAACATGCACATTCTTTCAATCGTGGACACGAGCCAAACTTCTCAAAGTAATTGTTGTTATTTCTATCTATTCAGACGGAGCAACTTACTGTAGTACCGAGAGATACAAAAGTTGTTGAAGTAGAAACTTCCAGAAAGGTCCAGAAGAAAAATTCGAGCAGAAATAAAAAGTAGGAGTTAGATTTCTGCTCTCCTGAATTGTTTCTTTATGTATCTAGTCATTTAATGAAATACATTATTATAGTGAGTAATATGAGGGATTTTGTATTTGATTTGCCATTGCCTCATGTTTGTTAGGTGTCTTATTTTAAGTGCAAGTGGAAACTAGAATTACTTTAGAGTTGATCTGATTTTTAACTGGAGCTCTTCAAATGGCTTAAAACATTATCTCTCTTCTTGAAAACTCTGGTTATTAAGGAATATGAGATTAGTGATAGGCGATATTTTAAATTCTTAACTAATAAATTTGTGTTCAGGTGGCATCTAGAACCTTGTCATACAGATTCTGCTGCAGGAGTATAATTCTTAATAATATTTTGATTGAAGTCTAAAGGTGCAATTTTAGTAATGCAACAAAGAATGTAGTTGTTTTATGCAACTAGTAGCATAATGCCAGCAAAATTTAATTGTGGGTATTGCTCTTAAATTTAAATCAATCACTTGAATATTTTTCTACCCATAGTATAAAATTTTAAGCTAACTAACAAAATTGTCTGCCGTGACAGAGTTTACCTCTTGTTGTAAGAGAAGAAAGAAAAAATCTGAAATTATTTTTTTGTGTTATTACTTACTTGCAGTGGGAATTAGCTGGACATCAACATACTGGACTGGGTTTTTGAAAGAGGACAGAGGGGAGCTCTGGAGTATCTGACAGAGGAGAAACAAAGAAAGCTGTGTCTGTTTAGCCTTGAGATAAGAAAACTTGGGGAGGATATTATTATTCATGTCTCTATCTGATGAGGAGACTAAGGAAGACTAAGCCAAATTCTTTACAGTGGTGCCTGGTGGAGAGGCAAGAAGCTGTTGACATAAACTGAAATACAGGAAGCTCCACTCAAACACAAGGGAAAATTTTTCTTTTTTTACTGTTAAAATGGTCAGACCTTTAGAAGTGGTTACCCAGAAAAATTGTGACCTCTAAGTTACTCAAAACTCAGCTGAGCAGAACCCCAATTCTGCTTCAACCTGCTCTAGTTAACCATGCTTTGAGCAAAGGCATGGGATTGATGGTATCAGAGATGCATCCATCTGCAGTGATTCTGTGATTTGTTGTACCCATGTCTACTGTTATCCTCCTAGTTGGTTTGAAATAAAATTGGAGCTTCTTAGTGAAAGGTAGATTCTAAGTTTGAATGTAGAGTCAGATGTTCTCCACAGAAATAGCTGATCCACTGAAGATGCTTCCTTCCCTTTCCAGCTGTCGTTAGACTTAGTAGAATTTACTACCTCTACAGCTATGCAGATGGAATGGTTTTTCTTTGACTACTTCTAATTTACTTTTCAGGGAAGTTGACCATTGTAATTTAATTGTCTTTCGTTAGGCAGCCTGATCTGGGTAGCTCTGCACTGGGATTATTGAGGAAGTGTTCAGAAGATATGGTTTCAGCAAGGGAGCAAACTTGCACCGGAGCTCCAGAGCAATCTGCCAGTATTGGCCACCTAGGAAAGCCCTGCAAATTTCTTACTATTTATCTGCATTTCGATGGGCTCGAAGCTTTACCGGACAATGAAAGAACAGAAATAAAAAGATGCTTCTGAGAGACTTTTGATGGATGCAATAGTTCTTACCTAGCCCCTGTTTTGTGTGGCATTTCCTTTACTGAAATATAGCTTCAAAACTGAATACAAGGAGCCATGGATGATTTCTGGTACTTTATGAAACAGATTATTTCCCCAGTTTGACTTGGAGATAAAAACTTGGCATTTTTGCCTTGTAGTATTAAACAAAGATACACACAAAAATGCAAACAAACCCAGCAACAACAAACAACCCTGCTGTAATGTTGTGAGCCCTTTCTGCTGTACTGACAGTTCTTTTGGACAGATACTAAAGTTACAATACTTTTTAAGATTTTTAATTGAGCTGTAGGTGATACCTGAGAAGTGCTGTCTTCTGATAGCTGTCACCTTTATAGGAAGGAATTACCTGGTTAAACTGTATACAAGGTCTTCAGAAATCTTCAACTGATCTTTTACAGTATGGATATAACTTATTTCAATTTAAGCTAATTATGAAGAAGTTACCTATTCAAAATCCTTAGTACAAGTGAGAAAGTGAATGGGCACAGTCATCTCAGTCCTGTGAAAGATTTGCAGTTTATGTGCAGTGCATATGTCACAAAAGATGTCATGGTTGTGCAGCAGTCAAGTGATGTACACTAAAAACTGAACTTCAGAAGGAGTGAGCTGCTGGGACTGCTGGAGCAGATCATGGCCATCTCACACCTTGGTCCTGCTCTGGCTGAGGACCAGTGACTCCCTGAGGACCAGTCACTCCTTGATAAATTGTTACTTCTCAGTTTTTATGTACTCTGTAATCTCCCTTCTTAGCTGTCTGGTATGGGATATCACTGTGTGTTATACTTGGTCACATTATTTTTTTTATGTGGATAATATGTTTGGTAAGAAACCAGTTTCCTTCCTTCCTTCCCAATAGAGAAAAATGACATTATGCTTAATTACAGGTGAACATTTTGTTAGAGGTGTTCTCTCATATTTTCATCCATTACAACAAGGTTGACCTGAACTGGCATGCTTAGGGAGTAAATACTATCTCCCCCCACAAAATACTTATGTTTTACGTGGCAGCAGCCTATTGTGCCCTTATCAATTGTAATAGGGCTTTTACTTTGTTACTGCTGGAGCAAAGATTAAGAGGCAAATGTGATCCAGAAACATCTTTCCAAAACAGTCAAACTTCTGTTGATGAGCATGGGGCAACCACAGGGGCAGGAAGTAGAATTCTGCTGAAGTCCTTAAATTGAGGTTCTGCTCCTGGCTCTAGCAGCATTAATTAGCAACTCTCCTTGTGCTAATAAGTTACCACCTGCTGTCAACAACCAGAAATGTGTGCACCTTAATGAGTGAACGGGACTGGGTAATGAAAAACTATTCCTTTTTATAAGATAAATGTAAATGTTTTACTCTTCCTAACTGACACATGGAGAGGTCTGTTTGACAGTAGCAATTCAGACAAAAAGTGAGCCAAATTCTTACATCTGGTAGGAAGGTAAGCCAAGCTGCTCCTGCTGTTTGAAGTACCTCAGCTGGCTATTCCCTACCTGCTGTTTTGTAGTAATGGGAGAGAAAAGTCTTCAACTATCTTGACAATTTGTACATCTGGAAGTGATTCACATTGTAAGAAAGGTATCAAAACAAGATAATTTCTGTAATTTAGAAAGTGTCATTGGTTAGATCTACTGAATAGGCTGTTCCCTGGCTTGATAGTTTAATGCACAGATTCTGAAGCAAGTGTTTTTGATGAAACCCCCCAAAATTGCAGTAATGCCAGGATAAGATTGCAACCACTGGGCATCACAAAATTGTTTAACATTTGGTAATAGTATCTTATTTTTCTTTGATATTTCAGCAGGAAGGTTCAAGGTCTTCTTGGATTTGTGTGACACTATAGTTAAAAGAAAGTAGTAGCTAAATTGACCTAACCTGCAAAGAGGAATTACAGACTCCAAAAATAATCTTGTCCAATACCATGCCCAAAGAGGGGGGCAGATTTGAAGGTTAGATTTAACTTCTAAGTGGTATCAGGCTTTTCAGGTTTATTCGAGAGCTTTTTTGGACAGTGATGCAATATTAAGCACCCTCACAGTGAAGAAAATTTCCTAATGTTCAGTAAGAATTTATGATCATTGCTTTTCATCTGTGAATGTGTGTATTTGAACATGGCCCAGTCTTCATTAAAACTTGCCGCTGTGTTCACTTAGCAGAATAGCTACCCCCTCCCCCTAGCTTAGTTTTGCTGTGTGGAAACTAAGTGAAATCAAGAA